CCATTTTTCATTTGCTGCTTTTAGATGTTGTCTCCAAAGTCTCCAGTAGCAGAAAAAAGTCTCTAGATTTGGCGCTAGGAGCTTTTTAGAAATCAAAGTGCTAGAGGGGTCTGAAAAGTGGCTAAATATAGCGACTAAAGCGCTAAGTTAGCAGAGTTTGCTAAGTTAGCAGAGTTTGCTGCTTTTAGATGTTGTCTCCAAAGTCTCCAGTAGCAGAAAAAAGTCTCTAGATTTGGCGCTAGGAGCTTTTTAGAAATCAAAGTGCTAGAGGGGTCTGAAAAGTGGCTAAATATAGCGACTAAAGCGCTAAGTTGGCTGTTTGGACCTTTCTGAACAGCAAATGGACTGATTCAATATGGTGGACACTGAAGGGGGGGGCTGAGACACACTTAGTATTATCTGATGGCATTTTAGCCAAAGGATTTTTGATCAAAAACATAATTAATATGCAGAAATAAGGAATAGTTGCATTAACCATACATGTTGACAGAGCCTAATGGTAAATCCCAGCAGGTGTCTCAGTAATCTCCACCTCATGCAGCTGATGTCTGCAGAATCATAAATGGCTTCTGGTGAGATCTGGATCTTCTGGACTTTTTCAAAGTCGTTCATCTTCATCTGATCTGAATCAGGCTGTTATGTTGGGGGGGGGGCTACACTGTAAACAAACGCTCTCCCCCCCGCGCCCCCCAGCCCCATTTCTACCGTCCACAAGGTTAAACGTCACAAACAGGCATCATTTCTCCACATTAATAGAATAAAATCGTTGTTTTGTGACATTCAGGTGAAACACGGAGAGAACCGTCCACCTCCGTCACAGGTCGGTGTGATGGCCGGCCGGTAACCGGGGAGCTGAGCCCTTACCTGTCCGTACACCTTCGGCATGGCCGCCTGGGCAGCGCTCCGTGGGCTGCGGTGCTCCCGGTGGGCGGCCGGAGCCGCCGCGCCGCTATCCCCCGCGATGAAGCGCTCCTCCGCTCGCAGGGTGAAAAAGCCTGTGTTCTGGGGGCGCGAGTGGCGCTGCTCCGGGGGAAGATGGAGGGTCGATGAGGAGAGTCCTGGAAGCGCCAGGAGCAGGAGGCATAATAAGGGAGAGGACAGCATCTGCTCTGCCTCGGTTATCGCCATGTTTGTGTATGTTTGGCTTCTGATGAGGTGAGACTGAAAGAGCTCCTTCTACTGGCAGTGATGCCAATGGTGCTGCGTTCAGGGGCCGTGGGAATGCCCGGAACTTCTACAACTCACTGCTTCAATTCTGCTCTTTTCACACACAGACTGTTACCAGCAGCTCATACAGGCTGCAGGCCGTAAAATACGACTGAACGCAGAAATAAACAGTAGTTAGTTTTCATTAAATCACACCGACCCATTTAAAGAACATCCTAGACCTCATTATTTCTGGATGTTTGTGTTTAAAACGTTTTTTCTTTCCCTGCTAATGTTTGAATCATAATGAGACGGACATATAAAGTCCCTAAGAGCATGAATAAATGAATGAATGAACCTCTGGTCTCTATTTATTCACTGGTTGCTGATTGCCCGTTGGTTGTACGGGGTTGAAGTGAAGCCACCGGCCGCCATATTGGTACTCCCTAGTTAAACCGGTTGCAATGTAAACAACCTGTGCGCCACAGCATCGAACAACGATGATGCTCTCATTTTTAGGGGGACTGAAGACATTAAAATTAAGATAAATTCATCACTTTGACACAGACTGGCTGTTTCATAGCATCAGTAGATTACTTTAACTACATCACATTGCATAGTTATTATGAAGTCAATGAAGTCTATAAATCATGTAATATAAAATATTATATAAATCCATCACAATAAAATTAATAAGGTAATGGAGCAGAATAATACAGATGTGCCCAAATTGACAAATTGATGAGGTACATGTAATATATATATACATGATGTGAGGATTGCATCGTTATGGTAATTACATATTACAAGTCAGATAATACATACTACATATATATATATATATATATATATATATATATATATATATATATATATATATATATATATATATATATATATATACATATATTGTTTTTTTTCTGTCAAAATCACATGCAATATATTTCAGCACACTATTTCAATTGAGAAATACAATTTCTATTTTCTCTCCTTTCTCTTTTCTAACCTTAGACCCAATGTCAATGCTAACTCTTCCAGTCAGTCCCAGATAGCCAGACTAATGTTAGTCTACAGACTTTACTATAGGATCCATCAGCGTATGAATTTATTGGTTAGTTCATCCACTGACTGTGAAATTATCTGTGGAACGTTTTCCTGCTGGTTTTTGCAGCCCAATGCTGCACAGGGAGGCATTTTTACAGCATGTCATTTTTACAGTGGGGAGTACCAACATGGCGGCCAGTGGCTTCACCTTTTTCGGGCAATCAGTAATCCAGTGAATAAATAGAGATTAGTAGAATAAACAGTGGAGCCTCCAGAAATGTTTTATAGTGGGGCCAGATGGGACCAATAAAAAGCTTGGTGAGAAACTATCCCACCCCTTTGGAATGGGGGTGTTTGGCTTCTTTGTTAGCCTGCAATGCCCCATACCTGTCTATGTCTCTGAAAGGGGGGTCGTTAGAGGGAATAGTTGGTCTGGCTGAATAGGTCCTCCGCTCTGCTGTAAAGGGAATCCAAACGACCCCCATTCCAAAGGGGTGGGATAGTTTCTCAC